TTAAAGGGTCTCCTTGCTGTTCCGCAGAAAATATCCCTTTACGTTCGATAAACCTATCGTTAACAAAGATAACAGCTGCGAATACGCCGTAAATTTGATATCTCATATATAATGTTGTAACCGAGGTTTAGTACCTGAACGCAGTATACTGGCTATTAAATTTCGGAAAATAACTTAGGGACTTTTAAATACACGTATTTTCAATTTTAGGTACTCAGAAATTTTCAGGTTTAGTAGTTTAGAGATTTTTCTTTATAAAAATTCTCAAATTGAGGTACTAAGAAATTATGCAGTTATTAAATTTACAAAGCTGGTACACAGTTATGAATTTTTTAAACTACAAATTGTCAGGTTTTATAATTTAGAGATTTTGCTATATGAAAATTCTCAAATTCAGGTACTAAGAAATTATGCAGTTATTAAATTTACAAAGCTGTTACACAGTTATGAATTTTTTAAACTACAAATTGTCAGGTTTAATAATTTAGAGATTTTGCTATATGAAAATTCTCAAATTCGGGTACTAAGAAATTATGCTGTTATTAAATTTACAAAGCTGTTAGACAGTCATGAATTTTTTAAATTACAAATCAAGTTCAATAATTCTAAGATATTTTTCCAATTTCAAGTACTTGAATTTACAAATCAACTACAAACATACAAATTAAAAATACTCTAAAAACTTCTAAACAAGTTCCTAATTAGTCCACTCAGAAACGACCACATTCTCACTAATTAAAGCCTAATTTTTAACACAGCACCTAAAAAAGTCTCGATTAGAAATCGTTTCCAGTGAAATCGGAACCTTCTGAAATGTCACGTCGTTACGTTTCTTCCTGATCAAGCCCCTTATTTCGTAAATGCAACATTTAACTAGATACGAAATCTGCTATCTCTACCGGAACCAAATGCTGTTATTACGATCGAGTGCTAACACTTCCTTAGATATTCTCGGCTGTATCTCCGATATTGCCGATAATTTTTCACCTATCCATCGACGTAATTCGAAATCGTTTATTCGGTCGATACCAGTTCGTATTTTCAGCAGTTGTTCGCTACTTTCACGATCGGAACAGCAGGAAGTGTCTGGTTGAATTCTAACGGGTGTTCGCACACGAAAGGAGCGAGAAATCGCGCGTGCCAGACTTAACCAACGAAGCTGTAAAATAACGATTCGAGTGCAGCCGTTCTCCTTTCGATATTGTCCTTCGACTTGATCGCAACTGCTCTCTGCACGTACGTTCACACGAGCTTGACTTCAGCTACTTGCTGATACAACACGGACCTACTTGATCTAAAAAACTCGTCGGTGTTTTAATTTAATATAGTGATTTTTCTAATTGTTAAACTTCCCAAACCACAAACTTTTCAAGTACCAAATTTCCAAAATTACAAACTTCCCTAGTGCTAAATTTCGCAAATCCCAAATTCTCAAAGTACCAAATTTCTTATATTTTAAAATTCCCAGGTTCCATATTTTTCAGATCCTGATTTTCTCAAATTCCAAATTTCTCAAATCCCATATTTCCCAAATCCCAAATTTCTCAAATCCCCAAATCCCCAACTCCCCAACTCCCTAAATTTTCAAATCCCCAAAATCCCAAATCTCTCAAATTGCAAATCTCCCAAATTCCAAATCTCCCAAATTCCAAATCTCCCAAATTGCAAATCTCTCAAATTCTAAATCTCCCAAATTCCAAATCCCTCAAATTCCATATCTCCCAAATCCCCAAAATCCCAAATCCCTAAGATCCCAAATCCCCAAAATCCCGAAAATCCCAAACCCCCAAATCCCCAAATCCCCAAATCTCCAAATCCCGAAAATCCCAAACCCCCAAATCCCCAAATCCCCAAATCCCCAAATCCCCAAAATCCTAAACCCCCAAATCCCCAAATCCCCAAATCCCCAAACCCCCAAATCCCCAAAACTCAAAAGTCCCATCCCACAAAAATTCCAAACTCCTCCACTAAAAACCTCAGCATTACGAGATCACATTACGAAAGTAGAAACGTACAAAAATTAACACCATCATATGGCATCTCTTGTTACGTACTTGAAATCACGTTTGCCCAGATCGGTTCCAAGGCTATGCAAATATCTCCGTTCGCATGAAAGTTTTGCGTTCTTGAATACGAAAGCGGATCGTGTTTTTTTACAAATCGAGAGCCAGGAAAAGCGGGACTCGTTCGTTTCGATCGTAACACACGGTAACGACAATTGTCGTTCGTCATGGTTACCCTACCATTTACTGCAATCAATTATCACGATGCACTTGCACTATATTTTTCTGCGAGAAAACGTTCGCCCGGAATGAATCAGCGAGCGTAAAAAGAATGATTATTTAACCGCGTGAGTTCCTGGGAAATAACGGAACGCGTTCGATGCTTTGTTTATATAGCAGGTTTTTTAGCGTGCCGCTGAGAAAACGAAATGAACTGTTCGCTGTCAGAAACGGCATTACAAAACACGAGGAAAACAATGTTGGAAAGCGTCTTCGCTTTCTTTCGGAAACGATTCGGGACAGTTTCTCACGGAACGAGCTAGTTTCGGTCTGCGAATGAGCACTATGGCGGCCATACTGATTACTTTGTTAATCTGAGTGTTTGAACATTCGTATTATATTTATATAATGAAAGTACTGCTATATAATGAAAGTAATATTAGTACCAATGTGATATTTGTGATTATTTCATAGAAATTAGTTTCTGTATATTTCATTTTTAATGTACACTTCATTTTGTAATCTAATGTAGCCATTTTGTGACTAGTTTTATTCTGTATCATTGGATCACAACCAAAATAAAAGGTTTACGTCAAAAATGTATAGGATCTTTTTTACAGAGCTTTTTATAAGCTATATTTTTTATTTAATACTTTTTTCTCTAGAGTGAATACTTTCGTATATACAGGGTGTTACCTGTAACGCTGATATGTATGAAGTGCATAATAGATATTAGTAAAGCAAATTTTGAAAACAGTTTGTTCTCTCGGCAAAGTCAAGGATACTTGAGTTTTTTAAATAGGAACATACATTTTTTTTATTCGTAGCTTTAGAGGACATCGAGACGAATTCAAAACACATGTTACATGATATTTTTATTAACATATTACTCGATTTACAGAAGAGGAAATGTGAAGTACTTAGCTTTTGACTTTGGTACTGTAACCATTATTTGATTCCGAAGAGATTACTGAATGTAAACGCGCGACTAGAATGTAAGAAAAATACACTTTAATTAATTACATGTTCAAAATGTATGCCGCCTTCCATCGCGTAATATTCCGGTCTTTTACTTCACATTTCCACTTCTGTAAATCGAGTAATATGTTAATAAAAATATCATGTAACATGTGTTTTGAATTCGTCTCGATGTCCTCTAAAGCTACGAATAAAAAAAATGTATGTTCCTATTTAAAAAACTCAAGTATCCTTGACTTTGCCGAGAGAACAAACTGTTTTCAAAATTTGCTTTACTAATATCTATTATGCACTTCATACATATCAGCGTTACAGGTAACACCCTGTATATACGAAAGTATTCACTCTAGATTTGGTAGTGTAACCATTATTTGATTCCGAAGAGATTACTGAATGTAAACGCGCGACTAGAATGTAAGAAAAATACACTTTAATTAATTACATGTTCAAAATGTATGCCGCCTTCCATCGCGTAATATTCCGGTCTTTTACTTCACATTTCCACTTCTGTAAATCGAGTAATATGTTAATAAAAATATCATGTAACATGTGTTTTGAATTCGTCTCGATGTCCTCTAAAGCTACGAATAAAAAAAATGTATGTTCCTATTTAAAAAATCCGAGGTGACCTTGACTTTGCCGAGAGAACAAACTGTTTTCAAAATTTGCTTTCCTAATATCTATTGTGCACTTCATATCTTGCAAATATTGTTCTAAACTTTTTTTCGTAAGGGGTAACACTCTGTATATACTTATATCTTTCTTATTTTCTTCTCTACTTCTTGTCTTTTTTATTTTTTTTTTTTACTTGTCAATTTACTTCTCATTCTTTATTTACATACAAATTACTTAGTTATCAATTTTCTTTAATTTTCTTTCGTTATTAATGAAGTCTTGTTTTTAATTATAAGAAACATAAGTGTCCCATAATAATTGACAGAATAGTAAATAATTGCAAATACAAGAAAGTGGTGCAATCGCGCTGTTTAATACGTTTCGAACGTATTTCTGCAATCACCTGTAGCATTCAAACTGTTTAAGTGTTAGAAACACGTTCCGTTATGGTCAGTGCCGACGGAATTTTGCTTTTCCTTCTTGCAAATCACGACCACCGCCTATATATTTTATATCTGTTTGACATACATTAACATGCCATTAATGAAAGAGAAATTATAAAAAACATTCCGTCAGAATGTCGGCAGAAATAGAGAGGATGTCGATGGAACTCTGTTTGATTAAAAAAATAGCAAACTATTTATACTCGTTTGCTCAGCGATTCACTGAAGATAGTTTTTGTATTTCGTTTTAAATGTGTACAGAATAATTTTTTAATTTGAATTCATTTTATTGAGATAATCAACCAAAACGAATACTGGTATAAAACTCTGTGAGTAGTTTGCAATTTTTTTTAAGACGCTAACTCTATAGATAAATCTAAATTTTCGACTCTGTTAATAATTTCAAATTTGTTATAAGACTCTTTGAATAATTTTTTACTAACTCACATTAGTTCCAAATGATGTTTATATTATCTATATTAATTTTACAATTTTATAAGTTAAATCAAGTTAGATATTTTACAAACGAAGGTATTAAAACTATTTTGCATGAAATACCAAATTACTTAGAAGATAGCAAACTATATTAAAACAAAATACATCGTATCTAAATATCTATGAAAATGTTTTTCGATACATAATTCTCTTCACAAAATATTTCACATTATCGTCAAACGTATAATATTATTTCCAAAATATTTTACCAACTGTTTTACCAAACTATTTATCTTCTTCCTTAAAGAAACAGCCGAGTCCTGGGACAAATTCTCCCGTCTGATCCCAACGAATTCCGTGTACGAGCAGCAGGATCAAAATGGTTCCCCCGTGGCCAGCAATCCAGCAGAGACATTATCGCGTTCTCTGGATGAAAATAACGTGATGGGTACATGGAAAACGAGTTCGAAAAATGACGAACACGAACAGGAAACAGATGAGGTTTACGAAGACGAGTACGAAGTCGAAGAGAGTGCTAAAGTGGAGCACTCGGAGAACTCGAAGCTCTCTAAACTCAGCGACGACGCAGAGAGGAGCGACATATCGTCCTCTTCGAGTATCAAAATGGAGGAAGGGTCCAGAGACGAAGATTACGTCGAAGATCCGTCGACGAGTCAATACGACGCGTATTATTACTACGACGACTACGAAGGCAATAATCACTCTCGATCTGAGGCTGTAGGTAAGATAAACAATTTGAATTCTAAATTTTAATAAACATGTTCTTTTACTACTGCTCCTTTTCACTATCTCACGGTTTATTCTTTAAACTTCAATTCTTTCATTCTTTAAACTATTCTTTGACTTTAGTTTATTATTTAAATCTTTTGAGCAGTTCTTCATTGAATAATTTCATTACAGTACCAAGATTTTAATTTAAGATGATTTTTAAAATCATTTCTCCTTTAAATAATTTAAATTAGTATTTGAATCTGTTTAAATACTTTTAAACAATGAACAATCAAAAATGAACAATTTTAATAATGGAATCTTTACATAGATTCAAACTTTCACTCATTCTTGAATAAAGTAAAGTATTATTCTTTTAACAAAATATAATCGTACGTTCCTCTCCGTTCAAAAAACCAACCGAAAGTATATTTCATGATTTCTGTATTATAGAAGTGTCCACAGAAATTAGCGATCAAAGTCACAGATAGAGCATAAAGTACCATTGAAACGAATTATAACAAACGATAGCGTAGAATCACCAACACGAACGACATTTAACCCGCTTTTTTTCTCGTGATGTAACAGTACAATATCAAATAATTATGATCTTTGTAAACGTGTTTTGCGTTATGTAAGTTCGTTTCGTCACCCGTGTCGTGGAAAGTCTCGTGCGTAAAGAAAGAAACGCGACGAACATTATTACAAAGCTTCTTCCGCCTTTTCATCATTAAAACAATCATTATTCTCAAGATCAGTGATGAGCTGGTCGCTAGGGTAGTGGGCATTTATGTGCGTTGTACGAGATGAGGTGTCGATGAGGTTGACAGATTTATTATTTTTAATATTACGGATTTGAGAATTTCGAAGAGGAGGCAAGATTAGAAATTTTGGGTAATTTTGGTGATTTGGGTAGTTTGGGTAATTTGGGTAATTTGGGTAATTTGAGTAATTTAGATAATTTGTATAATTTGAGAGATTTGAGATATTTAGGAAATTTAAGAAATCTAAAAAATTTAAAAAATTTAAGAAATTTTAGAAATTTTAGAAATTTGAGAAAATTGAAATATTTAGGAAATTTAGAAATTTGACAGATTTGAGAGATTTGAGAAATTTGAGAGATTTGAGAAATTTGAGAAATTTGAGAAATTTGAGAAATTTAAGAAATTTAAGAAATCTAAGAAATCTAAGAAATTTAAGGAATTTGAGAAATGTGAGAAAATTGAGATATTTAGAAAATTTAGAAATTTGAGAATTTACAGATTTAATTTCTCAACTTAAAAATTTACAAATTCAACAATTTGAAAATCTCGAAGATCCAAAACTTGTCTGCACGTATTCGCCATAAGCCCACCCATGTACTTACCTCACAAACACTATAACCCATTACTCCATAAACACTATAGCCGATTACCCCATAGACTATAATCCATTACCCCATAGACACTACAACCCCTAATCACCCTCTACATTCCACAGTGCACGCCGACACGCTGGACTACCCCGACGGCGACGAAGAAGAGAAAGAAAAATCCCCCAACAACCAACCCGCCCCTATCTCCCCAGAAGCCCACGAAAACTCCCAGCCCAAGCAAAGCCCAGACACCCTTCACAAACCCCCCGCAAACGATACCTCGGATCTCCTCGAAGACACGGACCTGGATACTCCGATCTCGTCAACGAACGCCGAAGAAGGTTCATCGATGGAGGGCAGCGACAAAACCTTCACTTTCGTTGGATCTCCAAACACGAGACCGAACTCTTCATTATCTGACAGTTCCATCTTGATCGGAGAGGCTGTGGTGTCCGTAGTAACGACGAAGAGCGTTGTAAACGGCACCATATCAATTCCGACGACCTCCGCGCCGACCACGACCGAACAAGTCGCCGCACCGCCGTCCTCCACTTTCGGAACAACGGAACAGCCGTTGACAACCGTGACAACGGAGGACACCTCGAAAATCCTGGCTTCCGTCCAGACGAGTCGTAGCATATCGGGTGCAAGGTTTTTACCGTTTCCGGTGATCGATCGCATCGAACCGATCGGGGAGAAGAAAACCTCGCCAGCTCCGGAATCTACGGAGAGCATTATTGACAAGCTGGACAGGGTGCAGTCCGAGTTGAGCAGCGGAATCTTGGCTGGAGGATTCAGAACGGCTGGCAATTCTCTTCAGTTGGACGTTCTGAGCGACAGGGATCGGGGTACTCGAAGAAGGTACACTACTACTGCGAAGACACCGGTTATTAGCAAGTTTGTACCGAGGAGGTACAATGACAAGAGGACTGATCATGGAAGTGCGACACCAAAACCGAGGATCGAGACGACGTTGGACAGTTTGGAGGGACTGCTGCCGAGGGATTATCTTGTGAGGGGTGGATCCACTTCTACGCCGTCCAAGACTGGTTTCAGGTGAGATTTGGGTGGTTGATGACTGTGATGGCTGTGAGATGTAATTTAAGAGTTATTTGCGTGGATATTAGCTGTATTTGAACTGTTATCTCTGATAGAAGAATATGATTTTTGTTAAATGGGATGGTTGATGTTTGGGAATTTGGGAGTTCAGTCCAAGCAGCTGTGACAAGGGTGTTTGAAGCGATTCCGCAAAATGACATAAAAAAATCTATATTAACGTTGTGTGAGCCTAGCGGTGATGCGGATGTATTTTAAATAACAAAATTAATTTTGGCAAAATAATTCCTTTCTTTCTATTTAAAAAGTTCCGTTATTCTTTCGACATACTGTGTACAGTATTAATCGTGTCAAATTCAATCTCGCTGAACTGTGTCAAATTAACAAATTGTGTCAAATCTCATGTCAAATTGAATCACATTGTACAAACATCAACGTACAAATATCAACCTTTAACAGTAGATAATAACAGATAATAGAAACAGTAGCTATAAACAGATCAATTCCTTTCAGATGGCCGACGAAGAGCACAACTTCAACAGAAGCAACAACAACCCAAGTCACCTCTACCTCTGTCTCTACCACGAGAAAACCCAAAACCAACGTAGTCGTTCAAGACATCAGTGCTTTCTTACCACCGGGCTACAAATTGAAGAAAGAGGACGTGACGACTGAGAACACATTGTTACGCGATATTCTTTCAAAATCCAAGGTCGATATTTCGTCGTTATTGCCACCGGACTACAACAAGAAAAGTAACGAAGGAAAGAACGAATCGACTACAACCACGACACCGAAGAGCGTTCCCTCAGAAAAATCTTCACCTGTGAAAAGTATTCAAGATCTGTTCTCCAAGTCCACCTTTGATATTTCTTCTCTGCTGCCGCGTGATTACGATCAGAAGAAGAAAAATGTGTCTTCAGGAACGAAAGACGTTGAAATACACAAAGAGAGTTCTACTGAATCTAATGTTTCAGTTGCGACCGAAGAATCCGTTTTACCCACGACGCAGAAACCTGGTGGTTTGAAGATCGTGTTTCCGAGCAGACCAGGAGGACGAAAACCTATATACAAAATTACTACTCCACAAAGTCCGAGAGCTGATGCTCCTGGTGCTGTTACGCCGAAAATTCAGAAGGGCTGGCCCACCAGGTTAATCTTTCAATTTTCTTATTTACAAAAAATTGAAAAAACTGTTAAGAAATTATTCTCTTATATTTCTAAAGAGAAAAACAAAATAAAATAATATTAGATACATTTCTAATTTCAACATTTTCACATTTTTTAAACAAACAGTTTATCTACTAAAATTTGAGAATGAATGTAAATTAATAAACTAGAGAATTTAAATTGTGAAATTGAAAATTTAATGTCGAGTTGAATTTTTATTGCAGAGCGACCACTGAATTTACAGGATGGCCAACTCCATCGACAACGCCAATTTCTATAGAAAAATTGCTGGAAGCTGCAAGAACTGCAACGATATCGTCCGTGAATGCATCGATTATTCCAACAACGGAGGCGACATCGAGCACCTCTACGACGTCGACAACAACTACAACACCTAGACCAACGACTCCAGGAGTTTGCGAAGAGGAATGCGAAGTTGCTGGAACTATAAAGATCATCGGCAATGCAACCTGGGTGCCAGAGTTGCTCGATCGAAATACTCACGAATGGCAAAATCTTGCTAATGAAATTGAGAAAGAGGTAAATAGAGTTCGCATAACGTTATTGAATTAAACTATATATCTAAAACGATAGAGAACACAACAAAATTTTATTAAGCAAAATTAAATATTATTGAAGCATTTCAAATATTTTAAAATTTGACCCAGATGAAAATTTTATATTTAAACACAATATTTTTGCTTTTACATAGATGAATTTCATATTCTCAAAGTCTGCTGTCCTGGCAAAATGGTACAAGAAAATAAGAATTGATTCGTTCAGGTAATAATTAAACTAGTAAGTTAACTAGTAAATAACTGAAATGTGATCAATATTGTAAAATTGATAAACTTTTGGATTCCAGCGAGGGTAGTATTTTAGTGGATTACTTTATTGAATTATCAGATTTGGAACAGAAGGTTAATACTCAGGAGTTGAAAGTTATTTTCCATGACTCTTTGCGTACGTACAATACAAATAGATGGAATGAGACCAAAACAAAGGGTTCGATAAAACTTGGGTCATTTTCCATTGATCCAAAATATACAGATTTTGTAGGTGAGTAACTTTGTTAATAGATACAGTGTAGAACAAAGATTTTCTACTGGTACATGAAAGACAGTTGGGTAGCATAAATACCTTTTGGAATAGTACAATAATTTTATTACTTATAGTACATTTTTATTAGTTAATATTTTCCTATCTCAAACAACAAACACAAAACAATGAATTGGAATTAAATTTACAAATGTAGAATTAATTAGAACTATATAAACTGATTCTTGTTAGACAAACACACATATCACATTAAATTAAATCATTTTGTCTTTTAATCATTTGTGTTCAGTTATCTCCTTTTATACAGTTATTCTATTAGGAACAAAACATACATGACAGTAATGTAATTAAATATATAATCTTTCTTAAGTTTTTACACATAGGACATTTTTTCCTTTCTCTTTAATTGTGGTTTTGATAGCACACATTTATTAAAAAATTAAGTTAATATCAAGTGGATATCTTTACAGTAATACCTAAAGCATCTACTCCTCAATTCGCCGAAAAAGATGACAAATTAATTCCGCAATGGACAATTGCTGTAATCGTTATTGGAGTTGGTGGATTGCTCTTTATTACTATATTTGGCGTTTCTGTTGTAAGTGCAAGAAGAAAAAGAGTAATACCAATATCGTATAAATAACTTAGCCATCTTATGATTCATTTAATTTTTAGTTAATCAATCGTCACAATGCTTCAAAATTAAAACCATCTATATCCACCATTTACGAGGAGGAAGTAGCGAAAAATATAACATCTAGGTCTAGTGATTATTCGAAACCAGTGCATACAATTTGGACAGATCCAGACGTTTCATGGAACGACAAATCTTTCGAATCAACTTCCAACAAGGTAATATCTATCAAAAAATATTTTACATAGTTAAATATATTACATAGTGAATAAATTTGCAAATATTTTGTTTAATTCTTAAGGTACTCGTTGAAAAATCATTTCAAGACAACAAAAAATACAATATGTACGACAGCTGGCGATCGGAATGGAACGGATATTATTGTAACGGATCTCACACCAGCAGTAAATATGGCGGTTATGATAGCACGACGAATTTATCGAGTCGTCATCATCCTGATTATGACACAAATTTCTGAATTCGGCGATAATAAAATAAAATTTTTATCAGCTCTACTTTTATTTAATTTATTCAGAGCCCTAAGCAAATATAATTCTTTCACAACATAATTCTTCCACATTGACATGTATATTTTATTCGAATCACAGAAACTATAACATTATAAAATAATTGTGCAATTATTATACTCGTGTATCTAGGATTATTACGCTTTAATATATTGTCGTTACCTTATTTTGAGCAAACAGTATCTTATGGTTTGTTTCCGAAAAATTGTTATAAAATAACTTCAGTAGTTTTTATTATGAAATTCTATTGTTTATTCTAGTCAAAGAAATAAATCGGTGGCGTAAAATGAGTACTTGAAAATATTTAATATTTTTGTAATATAAACATATTCGATATTAATTGGAATTATCGTTATTATAATTAAAAAAAAAAAAAAAGAAAAATTGGTTCCTGCCATGTTTATTTGTTATTTCCTTCTGTTACAATGTAATTAATCATACAAAAATAAATCTTTTGATAACTAGATACATAGTTTTTATGTATCTCTTTGTGACCACTTAGAAAAATATACAAATACATTCAGAATTAAAATAACCTCTTTGACAATGAAAGCAGCTCTGCAAGCGGCGAAACATTTGTTTCCTCGTTAGGAGTTACATGGCGTTTTAGCATACTTAAAAGTCTTTGATATAAAAAGGAATATCTATAAAGAATAATTGTATGACTTAGAATCTTTAAATCTTTAAATAAGATTTATAACCTTTACACTGGTATAAAATTAAAATAATTACCTGTTAGCTGGTTTACATATGCATAAATGATTTTGAGCAATTTCATAAAATTCGCCTATTCCAGGATCTATACATGAATGTTAAATCATATTTTATTACACAAGAGACCTATTATACATTTAGTAAGACTTATTAAAAACGTACCTGCTGAACTGGAAGTAACAAATTGAAATGGAACTTTTAATGGAGTCACTACTGTAGGTTTAGTTTCGCTAAAACTAACAATCTCCATAGGATATTGTTGTAACATCTTAAGGAATTCCTGATGTAAGCGTAATAAATTTGGTGATTCTGAATAAAATAATATTTCTTAAAGTATATTGGTAACAAGTTTTTTGCAAAAAGTAATAGTGCTTCTACTTTTACATACCTTCACGAAGTTCTTGCACTTCCACTGACGGCCATACTAGCATCTGTGTTGCTTGTTTTAAGGCTGCCACACGAGAACCTCGGTGTGGAGTGCTATAAAACATTATACCTTCAGTATTTTTACATATATTATTTTTATCACCATTTTTCCATTCTATAAAAAGAAAAATCGCGTAAGAGATATACATAAAACAATAATATTACAGTAGGATTTGAAATTACGCAACTAACCATCAACTAGCATCTGTTTGACTAATAAACCACCCATTGAATGGCATACCCAAACCGTTGGTCGTTGCCCGATACCTGCAGCCAACAGTTTCCTTACATATTCTGCGCTTCTTTCCCTCATACTAGTTCTAAATGTAGAATACATATGAAGTCAAAGTACACAAATATTTACACAGAATATTTGAGAAACATACTTTATTCCATCGATCGGACATGATGGAGTCCACAGTGATAAATTTGTATCATAATTTAGTCCAACAATTCGAATAGATGGAACATCTTGAGGTAACCAGTCTTTTGGCCAACACTGAGTTCTATGTCTTTTATCATACTCTATTTTCTTCATGTAAATATCGTCCCTAAAACGATATATTTTTGAAACGTACCAAATTTATTTAATAAAATAAATAACCTAGGACAATATTATACCCTTTATAAAAGAATGGTCCACATGCTTTTTCATCAATGTTCTGAGGACAATCATCTAGAATTATTTCAAAATCTTGTCCTATTTTATCCCATTCACGCTTTCGAAAGTCAATAGCTAAATCTTTTAGAAACTCTTGTGATTGATCATCTATCAAATTTGAGAAAGTATCAATTCCATCTTGTAGAGTACAAGGATCTGTAACAAATTACCATTAATGTAATAATTAAAATTTTTTATAAATAGTATAATGATATTGGACATTAATTGATCAAATTTATATATTAAAGAAAAGAACCGCTATTTGTAATACTAACAAACCTACAACTCTTACTGCAAATGTATCTACATCCCTCTGTCTCCAAGTTACAAATACACCGCCAAGAAGTCCATGTAGAAAAACAACATCCATCTTTGTCTTTCCTGCGGTTTTGTTTAAAGGATGAAGGAGATAAACGCGTCTAGGATATTTAATATGCTTATTTTCGTCCATATCTAAATTGGCTAATGCGCGACTTGCAGGAGCGGATAATCGTATATCAGAATTTTGAGACCATTCTACTAAAGTACCAATCCATCCTTTCAATAAAAACGATATATGACACATATATACATAGTACATTACTACAAAAGTTATAAATTAGAATCTTTGTATACCTGATTGGAAAATCTGTTCCAAATATTCTGAATGAAGGGAGAGATTCGAAATTATTTTGGCAAGTAATATACATACATTAATATTGTTACAAAAAATTTTTTTTAATATCATTAATAATGGAAGTCCACCAGCATCAAGAATATCTAAAAATAAGAAAAGGTTTACATTAAAATATAATCAATTTCAATAACAAATTTTATATTATACCTTTACTGTATTCTTCAAGGCAAGAATGATGGCATAATGCTTGAACACAACTTTGTAACAGTTCATGATCCCATGTTACATCTGGTGCAGCAACCAGTCCTAAGCTTGTTAAATCGTGATCAAGTATCAAACTATCCTGTTTGTTTCATACTTTACAGATAATTAAAATGTACACAAAATAATTGATGAAATTTTAAGTTGTAAATATTATATACTTACAGTATATGTATCCTTAAATTTTTTATTAAGAAATTCAGTAAGACATGAATGAGTATGTTTACATAATGTATTTAGCTGAAGCAACAACTGGTGTACTTTTTCTATTACATCCTGAAAAAAATATACTTCTTCAAATTCTTTACAAATGTAACTATATTGCAAGATATTATTATACGTACATGTAATTTATGTTTCTTATGGCAATATGGTGGGTTTAAGAAAAATTTGGGATTAACATTTGGCAGCCTTGCAACACATACTGCAGTTCTTGCATCTAACATTTGTGCAATATGTCGATAATGCCAATCTATAATTAATTTAACGTCCATGATACTCTTGTAGAAATTTATTGCATATAAGCAGAAAGGTACCTTTTAAGTGCTTTAAGGAATTAAGACTGTATAGTGCCTTTAAACGTTCTGTTTCATTGCCATGTTGTGCCATATGTAATAATTTATATGCAACATTGCGATTCAATGCTTTCCACCATTGCATTATAGTATGACTAAAAGAAACATGGTGCGTTGGCACAGACGATTGCAGACTTTCAATGCTTTGAGCCTTAAGTATATCTTAAATCATAAGAGAAAGAATTAAATTGATACATTGTAGAAATACTATTAAACAATACTGCAAACTACTAGAATTTCATAAATATCATTAAAATTAATAAGCACCTTTAAATCTAGGATCATCAACATATATGTATTGTGGACGAGCATGCTCTAAATCCAAAACATTAGTGGGCATTGTAGATTGTAAAATTTTTGTTACCTGCCGTAGTTGGTAAAAGACCCAACAACCTCTATATGAAAATCAGAGATAATTATTATGAATCAATTAAAAAGTTTTAATAAAGTATTTACAGGTGATAACTAACCCCATCACAACAATGCATATTCCGGTTGACTTTAAATAATATACGTATTTTTTATAGATTTGTATTCCCATCGTGAAAAGTAAAAGAGAATTGTACGCTATAGAAACAGTAAAGACATTGTGTTATTGTTTTCAATGATATTTAAACGTGTATATAGGAAAAATACATATACGTAATCATTTCGTGATCACAATATCATTTACAAAGAATCATAGATATATATTATTTTCCATGAATAATTTTTCAATGGACTTTAAACACTATAAATAAATAGCTTTTCAGTTTTATTTTGTTAACAAAATAAATATAAACATAATTCAATAATATAGTATGTTCATGTTCATGACTAACATAATAATAACCAAAGTTATTATTGAATTTCAATAAAAAAGTATGCACATTAAACGCTTAGAAATCATAATACAATACAAATGAAACTATTTAACATATAATAAATGAAATCAAATACATATATTATAAATTTTAATTAATAAGAGTGTGCATTATGTTCTAAAATAGATTTCCACTTGAATGTACATTGACGAGTTCGATGTGCACTCATCTTTATGCTCGTACATCAAAGTGCATTAATCCTTGATTGTTAAATCAATTACCATGTATCTCGTTATAAAGTTCTAATAAAAATTACGGTAAATTATGAAACAATCAGTAAATTTCTGAATTATTTTCGATAAAGCCTTAAGTTATGCGGTATTACAAGAACCAATACGAATGCGGCTGCGCCCATGTACGAGAAATGGGCTGGAGGCGCTACTCGCGCATAAACTCTTCAGTCTTTTTGCTTCCTATTTTATACCCTTAGGGTGCATTTAAACTGAACGAGCAAAAACGTGGAGCAAGAGCAATAGCATTCTTGTTCGTATTCGTTTAAATGAATGCAAACAATTATTTAAATTAAATATTGATGCGACAAATTTCAAATGGAATCACTTATAATAATATGTCGAATTGATCATTGACCATTGAATCGAATTTAATGACACGAAATCAGAACATATCAAGTTTGAAACATGTCAAATTCAATTGGATTTAATTGGGAAGATGAAATAGCACTCTGCTTGTAGAATATTCGCTCACGGTAGAAATTGCATCGACGGAAATTCTAAAGAATTTTCGAACGGTGAAAGAATACTCGTTCATCTGAATTTAGCTGAAGTGAGGGAAGTATGGTTTTTATTTTCTTCCTTGTTACAGAAGATGGCGTTTAAGAGCCGCTGCTCTTATTTGCCAAGTGGGGGAAGTATAACATTCGCTCGCTTAATGTAAACGCACCCTTACGGTACAACCATCCACCGAAGTACTGACGTTTCGCTGTGCCATCGCATGGCCGACGTGTGCATTCCGAGATTCGCTTTCGCGTGGTACCCGCTGTGTCACAAGTATCGCTTTTAAAACGAAATACTTGTGGCAAACATCAACATACTGATCTCAAAGTGAGTGAAAAGTGTGATAAACAATAGAGTTTCGTTTCACCGAAACAGAATAGCAGTTCCCTACCGAACACGTTCTTTCTGACATAATCCGGTATAAACTGGATTGAAGCAGATTCATCGATAAATACACTGATCGTTTATTTCAGAGAAAAATTTGTAGATCCGGCTTTCACGACGACGTGGACCACCTTTCCAGGCTTTGTCCCGTTGGTGATATAAGATTAATTTGCTAGAAATTCATAAGCCGCGACCACGCGACACAACGCGCAGCAATGTCCAACGAGGAGACTTCCGCTGACCGCAATGTTGAGATCTGGAAAATTAAGAAACTCATAAAAAGCCTTGAAATGGCTAGGGGGTAAGTGGGTCGAAATTAACGTTGCCGCGCCTTTTCCTATCAGCTGTTCAATTTTCTATGTGCACATATGCTTTAAAGAACATGTGGTATGTAGGTACTAACCGACTTTCGTTTTCTTCGCGAATACGAATTTTGTACAATTTTATAAAAAATTTCTTTGCGAGTTTTTTCAATACTCATAATATACCGCGGTAATTTATTGTTTCATCGTTATACTTCGTGTTATATCGCGAACAAATATGTTTTATTGGTATAATATTAATACAACTTTATATGAACAAATTATTGTTCCATATGAAACTTTTGTAACGTATAAATGACAAGTATTACATATTTCTTCTTTTGTAGGAATGGAACTAGCATGATTTCATTAATCATTCCTCCAAAAGATCAAATATCAAGAGTAAGCAAAATGTTAGCAGATGAGTTTGGAACTGCGTCAAATATTAAGTCTCGTGTAAATAGACTCTCTGTTTTGGGTGCAATCACATCGGTCCAGCATAGGCTAAAATTATATACTAAAGGTAATTTCAATCATCTTATTATAATTTGTTATTATTATATATCAGCGGTTCTTAATTGGTGCTTTTTGGAACACTTGTATTCCATGAAATTATCCACAGTAAGTTAAGATCAAGTATTACGCTAAAGTTGATTTTAAAGGAATTTCATTTGTACAAGAGTTATTTTAATTATAGTCATTACAGATATAATAGTTTTTTTCTAAGTAACATTTTCTTATTATTCATATACAACAGTATATATTCATATAAATATTTTTCTTATAATAACAGTATTTTGTGACTTCAAAAAGGTTAAGAACCACTACCTTGTATTATAGGCAGTGGTATACATGTATGAATTTGTTTCAGTACCTCCAAATGGCCTGGTAATATACTGTGGCACCATTGTAACAGAGGAAGGAAAAGAAAAGAAAGTTAATATTGATTTTGAACCTTTTAAACCTATTAATACTTCTCTTTATCTTTGTGATAACAAGGTATATTATTATACTTAATTTTATGCAATAGTTTTCAACAAGCATTTAACAAAATGAATATTAACATGTATGTTCAATTTTTCCAGTTCCACACTGAAGCACTTACAGCATTGCTTGCTGATGATAACAAATTTGGTTTTATAGTAATGGATGGTAATGGAGCATTATTCGGTACACTACAAGGAAATACCCGCGAAGTTCTACATAAATTTACTGTAGATCTTCCAAAAAAGCATGGTATGTTATTGATTACCAAAATATTTAGTTAATAAAGGATATTGTTAGAGTATCTGTTTTAAAGAATGGCAGTACATTGACTTTAATTTTAGGCAGGGGTGGACAGTCAGCTCTCCGTTTTGCTCGATTACGTATGGAGAAGCGACACAACTATGTTCGAAAAGTTGCGGAAGTTGCTACTCAACTGTATATTACTAATGATAAACCTAATATTGCCGGTTTGATTTTAGCGGGTAGTGCTGACTTTAAAACGGAACTTAGTCAGTCCGATATGTTTGATCCGGTAAGTCTATGTGTATTTAATAATCGCTTGTATATTTTTTTTTCTCACGTATACGATATTTATACGAACTGTAAAAATATAACTTTGTTTTTTGTGCTTATAGAGATTGCAAGCGAAAGTTATAAAATTAGTGGATGTTTCGTATGGTGGAGAAAATGGTTTTAATCAAGCTATTGAATTAGCTGCTGAATCTTTACAGAATGTAAAATTCATACAAGAGAAGAAATTAATTGGTTAGTACTTATCTATCATAGATAATTTATAAGAAATTTAAAAAATTTGTAAATTTAATAGTATATATAATCTGTGTTATTTAGGTCGTTATTTCGATGAAATTTCACAAGACACAGGAAAATATTGTTTTGGTGTAGAAGATACTCTAAGAGCATTAGAATTAGGTAGCGTGGAAACTCTTATTTGTTGGGAAAATTTAGATATTCAGAGATATGTCTTAAAAAATCATACAAATGCAGAAGAAAAAGTTTTGCATTTAACGCCTGAACAAGAAAAAGACAAGACTCATTTTACTGATAAAGAAGTAAGTTCGAAATATTTAAATCATTCTTATTGTTGTGTATGTAAATGCACTTAAATGACATTGAATATTATCTGTTATATGTAGAGCGGAGTAGAGTTGGAGCTCGTAGAATGTCAACCCCTACTTGAATGGCTTGCAAACAACTACAAAAGTTTCGGCGCCACTTTGGAAATCATTACTGACAAATCTCAAGAAGGTTCTCAGTTTGTTAGAGGTTTTGGCGGTATCGGAGGTAAGTTTAATTTGCACTTGCTTTTTATTGTTACTAACTTTGATTCGGCTGAAAGTAATATTTTTGTGAAACGATAATTCGTATTTGTCCACTTAACATGTATACTAACAGAAAAGCGGCTGATACCACCTTGACTAGCTAATTTACTAAGAGTGATATATGTAAATTTAATGTTCGTGTATACATGAAGAAAATTTTTGTCTTCCTGCATCTTCACAAGATCATTTTTTCACATCTGTAAAATATATGTCTTGCATATTGTTGCTTTTATTGCAAATGAAAAATAGTATAAAACTATTGAAAAAAAAAAAGGTTTTATCAAGACGGGAACTCGTATATGTGAAAAGTAAATGGTATTAAAAGAAAGGGTAGGAATATTATTATTAATTATGGAGTATATCTTGATGTATAGGAATCCTCCGCTACAAAGTTGATTTCCAGTCACTGCAGGCTGATGAGCCTCTTGATGATGTTGACCTCGATGATTACTAATTTCATCTGTGAAATACTCAAAGTTGACCAGGTAGCTCTTTCTCTGTCTTGAGTGCATTCGTTTACATTTCGTGTATTATAGAACATATTACTTTCAGAACTGGACAAATTTATCAAAATATTTAAAATTCTTGTGTTAGTGTATATAACAAAATAACGTTATAATTACATAGTATTGGTATTTAATTATTAATTGAAAATTAACAATAGCTAACCCTTTGTACAGCAAACTATGGTGATTATTAATTTATTAACTGTATAATCGTTGTACACTAAATTTGATGCATACAGTTTGATATTAATTATAGGCAAAATATATAATTTCATAATATAAATAATATACTCATAACGTTTCTATACTCATCACGAAGAGATCGATTTTTGCTGTTATGATTATTGTACTGTCAAAGTTATATTATTTGTATAAACATAATATTCTATAATGTATTTATAATTTTGATACGATAGTATCAAATAGCATACGATTAAGTATTACCGATAAATTTGTCCAAAAAATTTGCAGTCTATTCTGTTGGATTTCTCACTGAATAGTATAGTTCGATACTTCTACGCAAATCTGTAGTATATGTATGTCTCTTCTGATGAGTTTGAATGTGAATATAGATATTTTTAGTTGTGAATTTCGAGATATAATGTTTACTTTTACAAATAAAAAGCCTGGAAATTTTGCTGTCTTCTTTTTTTCGTGGTGGTACAAAAATAAAGAAAATCTTGTATATATATGAATTATGGATAATTGTATTTGACGGAGGTGAGTCACTGTATTCAAAACGTGTAATTGTTCTGTCTTGAATATTGTTAGATTTATTCTTACTATTAGTCGTTATAAATTACATTAATAATAAAAAACAAATCGCGGACACAATACACAATGATTGGTTTAATGGGAGAATAGTATTGCTTATTTTCATAAACACAAATACTTTTGGTTTCTAATAACGCATATTATTCTTCACCTTTATTACATATTTATATATCTAGACCTCAGAATCAAAGTATATTAAGCCACACTTTATCCAGCATCAGCAAAAATCAATTTTGGAATCAGCAGAAATACATATATAATTTTTTGATTACAGATAAAAAAGGTTTCACTTTATTCATCAAAAGTGGAATTATAGGATATTATTGAAAATTAAGTTCAATTTGATACCATTCAGTTAACATCAACGTGTTTTAATTTAATACTGCTTAGTTTCGATTTTATATTTGCTGTTATGTAACTTAATACCATGAACCAGAACATACTGTTACATAGGTCTAATGTATCTTTTGAAGTAGGTATCAGGTTCAAAATTATCTTAATCTATGTGATGGGAGTTTATATTGTATACAGTTCACAATTGTAGTGTCAAAGACTATTATGGAACTTCATGCTGCAAATAGCATCTTTAATGTGTTAAAAATTAAGTAACTTAAGACAATAACTTCTATCGTTGAAAAACGGTGGAAAATTTGTTGCATGTAATCTGTAAAATGTTTCTTAAAATAAGTGGACTTAATATACTCTGACATTTTAATATAGTATATCTTTTCAAGAATTTTTCTTCTAAAATATTGTGGAAATTGTTCTGTACTTTTACAATTTGTATAGATATGTGATGTATTAATATGATAGTGAACATTTGTGGTTAAAGAGGCACTTGGTATAAATTATTGTAGCTAAATTGATTAAAGAAATATAGATTAACTGTTAATAAGATTACTTTATAAATTCATAAATTTTAAAACAATGGTTCACAAAATTGTGGATGAGAAATATATGTATATATATGCATATATGTATATATATATCTGATTTTCAAAATAATATTGAAACCACTATTTTTTTATGTTATTGTGCAGTAGACATGCATTTGAAATTTTCTGTTTTTGCATGTTAAGCTTCTTAGTTGTTTAATATACCAGGCTCAGTAATGTATTTTGGTTTTGTATGTTGATTGTTTAAAATTGTTTTTTCATTATTTTTATGTATAAACATTCATTTATTTTCCTTTTTGCTTCATTTTAGCAATTTATGTAACATTATCATTCCATAGTTTCTTAGTATATTCTCAAAGCAATTATTTAATACATGTCTACAATTTTTTCTTATTAAGAAACACATTTTTTATAATTATATTTATGATTATTTTGCAATCACATTTTTCTTTTAAATGTGGCACATTTTAATGAAAGTATTACTTAATGTTTTCACAATAAGTTAAACAGTATATCAACATAATATTGTAACTATATTATAACATCTTGTTCATTTATTTGTTTATTCTTTACTGAGATCATATTTAGCATACGCAAATGCCTTTTTGCTGCTTACATAAAAAAATAAGTACTAATATTGCTTGCTGCACGTTATGCAATAGGCAAATGTTAATTTCATCACCATGGATATATATTCATAATCAAATGTTATTTTAAAAGCAAATATTTATTATTGGAAGGAAATGAATACAACATACAATTGACTATAATTCACTCTCTGGTGATGGATGTAAGAAGCAAATAATTGTATGTAATGTAATAAATAGTTCAGCTTTGTTAAATGTTATATTTGATCAAGCATAAGTACTAATTGATTGTTTGTTTCTATTAGCTTGCATATTGGGAAAGGTATAGTAATTGCTTTTTATTAATATAGCAAAAAAGAAAGCAGTGAAATTAATATCTTATGGAGCTTTATTGTACATTGTACCATGCTTTAGAATGTTATTTGTAGTATAAGAAATTTGCTAACATAAAATTTTCTCATTTTTCTCATTAGCAATGTTTTTAACATTAGTATCTAATATTACATTTTTCAATTCATTCCGTTTTTTACTTTTTGTTATTAATAAGATTGCTAATATTTAGGAATATAATTTATAATAAAATTTACAACAGTTATAGTTTTTAACACGAACAATTTCAGTTATATTCACATATTATTTTATTAGAATGTATTTTTTCTTCTCTAATTCAAGTATCAACGTTTTTATTGTAGCATTATTTCTATATCCATATTAGTATGTATCGCTTGTTACTCCATATACTTTTAATAAATTTATGAATTAGTATATGTTCTCTTAATTATATTTTAATATTTTAGTATTCATTATATATACAAAACATTCAATTATTTTTGCAGTAATGTTATTATTCTAAATATCCTTTTTACATTGTGATAAAAATCTTTCCATTTCTTAAATCACATATGATTATTAAAAAAACTGAGTTTTTCACAAGTATTCTTCAATTTTGTTTTGTTAGATTTTTATGAAGTATTTAAAAATAGAACACTGAGCAAAATATGTGTTATGCATGATTAATAATTATATCATATTAATGTTACTTGCCATCATATTTCTACAAATAATTCATCGCAATTTCTATTTTATTAATTTGCCCATTAAAGTTTTTATAGCATCATTCGTACTATATTATTAAGATACCTTCATTTAATTTCATAATCACAGCATATAGCAAAGCATATCCATTATATGGATTTTATCTACTAAAATAGTATTTCCATATGTGTATTTTACAGGTATATTGCGGTACAAAGTGGACTTTCAGAGTATGCAGTTGGAAGATGTTGAAGTTGACAGTTTTGATCTGGATGACTATTAAATCCGTGACTCGACAGACAGTTCTTTTAGCTTCAGAGGAAAACATAAGTATATGTTCTCCCCTTGCATCATACTTCAAGGAAAGCACATAGAAGGACATGTTTATAAAATTCATATGATGCAGTACATACATCATTGAAATTACTCATTAGACAGTTCATTCAAACAATTCACAATCGATACACCAAAATTAAAGAAACAAAAAGGCTCAACACGTGGCGCGCCGATAATCCATGTCCATGAAGAAAGAAAAAAAAAGGCAACTCGACTGTGACACTTAATTAGCCAGCTTGATACCTGCCTATTTCACACAACATTACCTTCTATTGCAATTATATTCTTTAATTATTCAAATGGATTTATTTAACTAATTACACGCGCTACAATGCTGAATATATGTTTGAACGATACACGGTTTGGGATATCATAATTTTTGTATCAAATTGATGTTCATAATTTCGTCATGGATTTTATGATTAAAAAGAAAGATAAATACTCGGCAGCACGAGGATGAATGTAGCGTTATTTTTGTTCAGACAACAATCATGGAGAAAGCTGTAATAAACTGATTATTATAAACATAAAGTTGCGTATCGTGCATTCTATACCGATTACTAAATTCATATGAATAATAAAGAGTTCTGTACATAGACTTAAATTTTTAATGGCACTGTTGCCTTAGACATAAGTTAAGATTGCGTAATATCCCGGAAAAAGAGAACATCTTTCCGACTCACCGAGTGATACACATGTAAACATAAGAGAATTCTTTCGTAAAAACTACATTAACTTCGCTGGCTATCGACTCTTATATTTTGTACATTCACAATTGTATATAACAAATGCTCCGCAAATGTATCGAAATGTATCTTTTCGATTGTTATAACGGTGCACTCTATTAGTAAAGAAGTATCTTCTGCAATATTTAAGTGGCAGTTATTTGAGAATATTACAAAAAATTTATTTTAGCATTGTTAATTTAATTTTGCTTATTCATATGATGCCTTTGTAATAAACAATGATATGTATGTATAAATGTGAAAAGGATGAAACGTGCAATTTTGGTGAAGTATCTTTTATGGAAATATCGTTGTATAATAAAGGAAGATTCGCGAACGTTGCTGGAAATAATGTGTTATTAATTAATAGTATAATTCTACTATTTATACTATTATACCGTGATAAAGCTTTATAACAAACTTCATCAAAATAGAACGTTCAGCAAAAAAAAGAAACGATCTGGCTCATGATATGTGCACAACGAATTCCAAAACATATGGTGGTTTGAAAGTATTGTATCTGTGTATTGTCTTCAAACAGTGAAATGTTAAATGTTAGTTTAATATTTCTTTACATTTTTACATGTAAACATTCTTTCAATAGGAATCTAGATTATTTATTACAACGTCGGTGCGATTATTTCTGCTGCTTAGTAAAAGCTTGTTTTAAGTATGCAAATTCTAGTTCTATAAGAACTCGATAAACATTTTGAAAGAGATTAGGAAAAGCCGTGTAATCTTTGGTTCTTTTTTTTTTTAAATTTTTTTTTTTGTTTTGTTTATTTGTAAGGTAAAAGTAAAAAGTGGGGAAAGTGGGTTTTTGTAAGAGGAAATGCATAACTAAAAAGACGTCTATACATCTCAGTTAAGCAAATCAATGACGTACTTAGATTATGGCTTGCCTATGATCTCTTCCATAAGCATAGTTGTATAATCTGCTAAACAGATTTATAATTTTTGGCAATTTTATTCCTCTGTATTGCTCCGGGAAAATACCTTCGTTTATTCATGAGATATTTTTGATTTAGCAAGGCAATACAAAGATGTAATCGTTGTAAGTTTTTGCTTAATCAAACTTCTCAAACTACGGATTTAATACCTCATATTTTGTATGTATTATATGCGTAAAGTACATTTATGCTGTGTTCTAAAGATTTGCACTCGTCTTCGTTGAAGCGAGCATGAGGTTACGCTAAAGGTATGAGTTTGAAGATTATATGGCAAATATTAGTCGTATTATGATACACATTCTATTCAAAATGTTCTGTGAGGTGATAAAGAGAGATGTAGAAATAATGAACAAATATAAAAGCAGCTTTTATCAAACATATCTTAAACATACATTTATAGGATTTAATAATTTACTGACTTACACAAGTTTTATATTTTTTTTATTTTTACCATATCTCTAATCTACATAGTTATTTATACATAATTATATTTTTCTCGTTAATACGATATTAAAAATTCTGTTTAATGCATTTTTAAATTTCATGAAATGAAAAATAATTAAATATGCTGTTTGAGTGAGATTAGACGTTACTTAATAACTTATCATTCTTTCTAATCTCTCTTTTTCCACGTACGCAAATATTCAAAATTTATAAATGGAAAAAATTGACGTATCGTTAATATCAAAATTGAATGAAAATCTAAGTAGATTAGTATATGAAAAAAAAATGAACAAGAAGTGGAAAATACAGTCTATGTTTCTCATGCAAACAAGTTGCTATTAGAACCCGAAAATGTCACATAATTTACATTTCCATAGACTTTCAAAATACATAACTAGAAGTATTTTAAATATATACAAAATCAATATAATAATTGAAGTATAATTAAAAATAGATTAATAGAGAAATAGTATTCATTATATTTGCTCTGTGATTGTTTAACAACGAGAGATATTTCCGGGTTCCGATTATAACGTCTACAATTTCGTTAATACTCTCCCTTTTTATATTTACACGTGAATTTTAGTTATAAAGTTAGAAAAAAGAAAGTTTTTAAATTATCGGTAAAATATATTCGTCTATACAACGAGGTGCTGTTGAATAGAAAAAAATTATTTTATTTAGTACATTATCAAAATCATATCAATGAAAAAAGAAGATTGGATAAATATAATAAAAGTGAATTATAAAGTGGGACATATTTTATACCATTTTTACACCTAGTTATATCTAGATATTTCTAACGAGTATGTATATTTGAATAGATAAATTGAATGTATTTATTTCTTTAATTATTCCTATAATTGTTCTATACATATAACAACTACATTATTAGTTTTTTTTTTTTATATTTGTATATTTTATACAACTGAAAGATACTGTGTTATGGACAATAAAACAACACTAATGTAGTTACTTGTATTTATAAGATACAGTATAAAAGGATAGATACACAATTGTAGAAAAGATGTCACTCTTTATGTATACGTATTTTATACAGCTTAATTTATTAAATATATATGACGTTATTTGTCATCTTTTTCTGGTACTAGAAGATTAAGATTGGCATCTTTAGTCATTGATCCTATATAAGTTTCTTCATCGCCGCGTATAGATAATGCGGTAACAGCTACATTTGTTTTTCTTTCATCCATCATAGCAGCTCTTGACCAATTTGAACTGCTGCATTTTATACAACTATGCGAAGGTATTCTATCTAAACTTACAGTTCTATTTCCACAATCACCACATTTGAAAAATCTCTTGACTCCATCGACAACACGTAGCGGATGTTTCTGTTCTTTACACATGTCAGAAGCAGAAAACGAGGTATATTTACAGGTTAAACATTTAACAGCTTTACAAGCAACTTTGTAGGTATTCAACATTTTTTCTTCCATTCTCTCCTTCATTTCTAATTTGTTGAAATATTTTTCTTGTTCCTGCTCATCAGATTTTTCAATAAGATCTGTATGAGCAGACTTAGCTTGCATCATTTCTTTAAATTTATCCGATATTACATTTGGTTTCTTTGTTTCTTGCTTCTCACTATCTTCTGAGTCCCTTGGACGTTTCTTTCCTATTTCTAATTTTTCTTCTTTGTTCAGCCGTATTTTGTTTGGATCATTGGGTTTAATTTTCCCATTTTTTTGAACCCATTTAATTGCATTATTTTTTGCTAAATTAATTTGTTTTTTAGTTATAGGTTCTGACAGGTCTATTGTTCCTCCTTGACATCCAATACCTAAACGTGGACGTGATGAGGAAGATAACATACTTAAATTTACTTGTCCTCTACTATTCAACTTTGACATGATAGGTGATGAAGATGCAGAATTATTTGATGTTTGAGACAGTACAGCAGCTTTCCACCCTCTTGACTTATTTATTTCTTCCAAATTTTTTTGCATTTGTTGTGCTGATGATTCTGCTTTCAGATTTGCATCTTTCATATTCTCTGTTGAATTTTCACTTTTGTAAGTTCCTGATAGTAATGCTAAACGTTTAGCATCTTTTTCCTGTAGTTTTTTACTTTTTACAGCAACAACAGCATTAAATTCAGGCATATTACAATTGAGGGGTTTCTTTTGTTGTTCTTTCTTTAATTTTAACATATCTATTGAAAATTTTTGAGTATTACTAAATGTTTGTAATTCTGATCTAAGTGAGCACTTTTTATATTCTTTTTTAATATGAAACAAACAAAATTCACAACGACTGATATTTACAATAGAATTACATGGTTCTCCATTATTTTTCTTTGATCTACATTTTCCCATATCTTTGGATGTACCAAGGATCATAATCTTTTGTGGATTATCAACAGATAATGTAGCTAGATCTATATTATCTTTAGATTCTAGAATGTTAGGATTAAGAACACCTACAACTGTTCCAACAGTGGTTTTCCAAAATGTTTTATATGCGGTACTAAACAAGAAAAGACTCACAGAGCTCATGTTTTCAGATAAATCACTTAATTTCCATATACAATATGTGGTTCCTTTTTGAGAAGTTTTTGGCGGAGATTTACTTATTAGTACACCTGCAATTACCCAATCTTTATCAAGATTTTCTGTACTAATATGGTATTTAACTCTTGATACTGTTACTGGTATTTTATCATTCATTCGTGTTTTCAGTTCTGCAGAAGATACTATGGGATTAATAATTTTTAATCCAAAAAATGGATCACTATAAACATCTTTTGCTACAACTTTATTGTTATTGGTAGTTGTACTGATATTTGTATTCTTCTTTGCAGCACTAAAATCAAACGTTTTTGTACTTTCTTGACGTGGTCTATTTTCATCATGTTTAGATCCTTCTTTCTTTAATAATGATTTTATGTCACGTCCATAATTAGAATATTTCTGTTCTTCAAAGTAACGTCTATCCTCATCGTCCGAAGAATCAATTGTTTCATCATAAATTTGACTTGTACCTTGTTTGTCTGATTTATTTTCATTATCTGGTTTAGGTGTACTATCCAAGAAATTAAAATCTAATTCTTTTAAAGTTTCTTTAGGCGGTGATTCATGCTTTTCCTCTTCATTAATAGCTAATAGATCATTTAAAACATCGTCTACATCAGAATCACTGGCATTATCCATTTTAAATGTTTGAAGTCAAACTTCTTATAATTATAAATAATTTTTGCACAAATGTAATTAATACTTTTCTTAAATTAATCAATTGTAATGTTCAATTAACTGTTGTTTACATTAACAAATAAATGTGCATACTTGTTAAACATATAAAATTATCAAACTAATAACTGAACAAAATCATAATATAAATCATATTTACCAATCAACTTAACATGACATTCAACTTAAAATGAAGCAACGGGCTTCTGTCAGCTTGTGTACGACGTATGCATTGTAGCCATTGTAATTCTTCCCGCCATTTCTTCATGCGGCAACAAATCCCGTTTTCATTTACGCAATTGTTAATTTCTTTTATTTACAATATTTTATTAAGTACACATATAATATGTATTTTTATATATATTTAACTTACATTGAATGATAAATATTCTTTTCTTAGAATTTACATAATTTCATGAGAACGATGAAATCTGGACAATACGGAAGCATATTGCAACCAATAACAATGAGGATCCGGCTACTACGAATATAAAATTAGTATAAATAAATAAATATTTATAATTTTAAAACAACAATTAATAATAACATAAAATTGAAAACAATTTAAAGAATATTTTAAGTTACATTAATAAATAATTAATGATTTGATATTTATTAAATAAATAACATTGTATGCTATCATTAAAGATTTCGTTGGTTCATGCCTCTCACCGTACCGTTTAACAATTCAAATCGCAGAAGACGCGGAACAGTAATGTCCAAAATTAATTAAATTATTTCACGGAGGATCGAGTATTTTAATCAAAATATGGATACGTATAAAATGCGAATTATAATAACACATAGAAGTGAGATACTGTTATAACAAATACACGGTATAATAATAAATTGGTACGTTTCAATAAATACACGATATAATTTTAAATTGGTACGTTATAACAAATACATATGATAGCGATGCATAATAAAGCGGGAAGTTTTATTTATCTCCGTTAACGATTTTTCTACTGTAAAGGTTGCCTTTCCACCAATCCGTAGCGTGAAATCGACCAGTCTTATAAAATATTTACTTTGGATGTTGCAGTCGTGCTAACGGATACCGGAATGACTTCTGCAGGGGGCGAAAGCAACACCAAAAGTTTCGCGTACTGAATTTGCAACGCATTTCTTATTCTTTCTCCAACGCACGAGCATGGTATATGAAATTTTTATTTTTGAATTATTTATAGCATTCTCCGTTCTACAATACAATCATACATAAACACAAATTTATTACGAATTTTTAAAACAATATTTAATTCGTTTTAGCCGAATTTTGTTCGATTAGCAAAAAATGCTGACGGTACCAGACAGATTCTCTTCTTGTAAGTACAAAGTTTATTTTGAACATTTTTTAATATTTTCGCATGTATGCACATTATCGAGCGAAATAAATAGCACGGTATGCATGTTCATTTTAAATTTGTGCTGCAGTAATCATAGCGTGCAAGTCATTTCATATTCTTTACGTAAGCGTCCGTCTGTAGAAGTAGTTGTATTTAATTGCCATTATACCTCGTACTTATACTATGGACCTCTTGTGCCACGGTTCTCGTGTAAAGTATACTCGCACTATTTTCATTGTTGGAAACTTTCAATAGTAAAAATCGTACTTGAGCAAAGCAATTAAATCAAATGAAATGAATATTAAATTTCTTTTATATCTAATATAGAAATGAAATTAATTTTACATTTAAAATAGAAATTAATTTAATTTTACATTTAAATAGATACTTTACTTGTGAGGAATTGGAAATGACAATTTAATAATTTTGAATAGACAGCGTTAGGTTATGTTGTACGTATTCATTGTCAGATATAAAGTTCGCGGTATTTCTCAGAATTCAGCCCCGTGTTGTAATAGGTTGTGGTTGAAGGAAGTAGATATACGCCCTGCAAGAACTATAATTCCTGAAGACGTAGATCTACCCCCGAATTATGTATTTTTAAATGTGATCTAGATTCATAGCAAACGTCCATGATAAATCAGGAAAAATTGTTCTGTTCTCATTGTACCATGTTAAAAGACCTCGCGGTTTATGAAACATTCAGCGTGAAGTTCCCGAAGTTCTACAGATAGTATATGACTTCGAATACTTATAAAATTTCTTTGCGAGTGTTTCAAACTTTAAGTGTTCCAAGTTTGAAGTATTTCGAGATTTCAAGAGTACTGTGTTCCGTGTTTTAGCTTTCAATGTTAACATTTATAAATGTAAATATTTAGAAATGCGTAAGTTACAAATTTTACGCGCATGCGCACTATGTTGGATTGGTTGATGCGCTAAGTGCGTTATTTTTTTATTTTTGCGTTTCGAGTTTGGAGCGTTCGAAATATGAAGTGTTCCAAATTTGAATCTCAAGTGCTGGAAGCGTATTAAATTAAAACGATCTAATTAATTAAATATGTATATATAAATTTATGTATAATTATTTTAATTGTAATAATTATTTTTGTTGGTTAGGTTAGGTTAGGTTAGGTATATATATGTATATATATTATTATAATCAAAATAATATTAATATTATTATAATTAAAATATATATATAAATTGATTTATTGAGCTAATATTATTATTTTGTTTATAAACTTGTAATTTATTGTTTTAAAGTTATTATTTTATGGATCTATATTAGGAATTATACATATTTAATAAAAATTGAATAATAAAATTATAAATTTAAGAGAAATATATATTAAATGTAAAACTATCTAACTTTGAAGCATTTCAAACTTGAAACTTACGAAATTTGAAGCGTTCTGAGGTTGAAGCATACTTAACTCGAAACATCCCAACTTTAAAGCGTTTCAAACTTGAAACTTTGTAAATTCGAAGCGGTCTAAAGTGTACTTAATTTTAAACCTAGCAATTTTGAAGCATTTCAAGCTTGAAACTTTCAAAATTTGAAGCGTTCAAGCACACTAAATTTGAAACATTCTTTAAAGCGTCTCAAGCTCGATTATTTTGAAGAAAACGATTTTGAAGCGTTCCACAGAGTAAACCAGAGGCGACACTCTCTGTCGGCACCTTTGATCTCTCGAAACGAGCGGGAAATTTAAATCGAGCAAATCTACTTTCACGTCAACCTCTAATAATTTAGAATATATTTGTAATAAATTTTCTGTACATTACTAATATTGTCTTTCGAGGTATTTTATCAATTTTACGGTGTTGAAAAGTTGAAAAGAAAAGAATATACCAAAATGATTGCTCTAAAAAATATATTTGAAGAATATGTATTACGGAAATGATTATTACAAATAACTTGTAAGAAAATGAAAAACTATATATCACAAGAAATTACAGATGAATGTGTTACAGAGATATGACAAAATATTTATTAGAAATAAATTACTAGTGCATATGCAGGTTTAAACTATTCTTTTTAGACCGCCATACTTCTACACTATGCACCCCCGATTCTTTTGATTTGGGCATTTAAATTGGCTGTGTCCTCTGTCTAGGAGGTACCTAAGTTTTCTTGTCTAGTGTCGCCTCTATGTCTACTCTTTGGTTCCAACTTTGAAGCATTCGAAACTCGAAACGCTTGTTTTTAAGTATTCCGAAACATTTCGAATTTGAAGCGTTGCAATCTTGCAAAGTATCAAATTCCCAGCTCAAAATACTCGCATTACTCAATTTCTGTCTCCTGCATAATTTTGGAACCTGGCCTTGCAAATGTCCGCGCCGTCCCTGTTTATACTGTTACATTACTTACTGCCGTGAAACCGTCGATCGATTCGAGCAATAAGCCATCAATAAAACATTTTCGCTGCTATACATCGTGCTGTCTGTTGAACATACAACACGCAACCGTATTATGTGCTTTCTATACCTAAGAGGCTATAACTCGTCTTCCAGCGTGAATTTCTTTCGCAGAGGAAAATCGTTTCTTCTTTAATATATAATTCTCTAGAAACGTCCGTTTCTATCAACCATGCACCGGACAGACTTGTATTGGTTGGTGCATTTATTATTAAAATGAATCACTATCCGTTTTCCCCCATACAAAGAGAGAAATGCTGGTTCAGTTTTCAATTGCTTCCCAAGCAAGAAAATCCCTTTTCAAATGTGGACATTCTGTGGAAAGGGTTCCATTTAATGGTGTTATTGTCCTGGAAACCGTTAATGAGGGAGGAGGGAAAAATAATCGTACGGAAATGCGATTTGTGTAACGCAACGTAGGCTTTCTTTTGGTAATGTATGTATGATGCGAAGATGGATATTTTTAAAAATGTAAATTATTGCGGTTGAGAGTTTGAGGGTTTTTGAGATGATAAACTCTTTAAATTTTTAAGTCCTCAAACTTATTTCTAAATTCCTGAGTTTCTCAAACTTTTGAATTTCTAAATTCGCAAGTTCCCACATTCTTAAAGTTCCAAGTAGCCGAATTCCCAAATTCCCAAATTTCCAAATTTCCAAATTCTCAAATTTTCAAATTCCCGAATTTCCAAATTTCCAAATTTTCAAATTTTCAAATTCCCAACTTCCCAAATTTCCAAATTTCTGAATTTCCAAATTTTCAAATTTTCAAATTTCCAAATTTCCAAATTTCTAAATTACAAAATTTCCAAATTCCCAAATTCTCAAATTTTCAAATTCCCGAATTTCCAAATTTCCAAATCCCCAAATTCCCAAATTCCCAAATACTCAAAATCCCAACTTCCCAAATTTCCAAATTTTCAAATTTCTGAATTTCCAAATTTTCAAATTTCCAAATTTCCAAATTTCCAAATTTCTAAATTACAAAATTTCCAAATTCCCAAATTCTCAAATTTTCAAATTTTCAAATTCCCGAATTTCCAAATTTCCAAATTTTCAAATTCCCAAATTCCCAAATTCCCAAATTCCCAAATTCCCAAATTCCCAAATTCCCAAATTCCCAAATTCCCAAATTCCCAAATTCCCAAATTCCCAAATTCCCAAATTCCCAAATTCCCAAATTCCCAAATTCCCAAATTCCCAAATTCCCAAATTCCCAAATTCCCAAATTCCCAAATTCCCAAATTCCCAAATTCCCAAATTCC